AAGACGATAGCAATATGAGTGTGTTTTAGTATTATTAAAAAATGTGATTTTTCTTCGGGCTTATTTAAATATTGCTAAAGCCAAGCTCAATTTCTAATATGACATACCCTAATTTACTTTTGTTTTAATGTTGGGCATATTTGCTCATGTTAAGATGAGTTACATGAGGTTTGCTTAGTGCCACAACTTTCTATGTTTAACACAGGTAAAGATGACCAAAAACTTCAGTTACCATGACTCATCCTATTCTAGAATATTATGATCCTTCGTGTAATACGCTTTCACCTCGTGTCAGTGCTTTGTGTAATCTTACATCAATCAATATGCCCTTTAAGTATTCTGATGGAGCAACTGTGATTTTCAAATATTATCTCAAAGCCACTTTCGACTGGTTTATTTATAAAACAAGTTTCTAATGTGAGATCTAAGCCTGTGATAACAAATTTTCGACCAGATTCACGTTTAGACTTCGTGTATATTACATGATATATAACATGAAATAACGATAAAATTCATCAAAAATGTTATCAGTCAAATGAAGGTGACTCATGTAAGTTTTATAATCAAGTGGTTTTTATTGGGAATCCAGTTTTATCATAACAGCATTTATTAGACACGAAATAGACATATATTGCATGAAATATGACATGGTGTGCGGCTAAGGGCAAATGGATGAAATTTTTATTAAAAATGTTATCAGGTGAAATGAAGGTGAATCAACAACCATTTAATTTTTATAATAAAGGGTTTTTAATGGAAAACCGGTTTCATCATCCTGTCATTTACTGGACACAAAATATGAATCGTTTTGATGTTATTTATCGATCTCGATCGGTAAGTATGTTGATAGGTATTTGTCTGTTTGTCTGTTAGACACTTTCGTATGTTACGCGATATCTCACGAAAGCGAGGTTGAATCTGCTCAAAATTTTGCATGTGTATTCATCACATCTCGGACCAGAATCGATTTTGGATGAATTATGTCGTATAATTAGCGAGTTAATATTTAATTGGTAATGGGACACTCGGTGTCGCTATTGAGTCAAAGCGAAACCGCAGATCGCTGTCGGCGGTATTCGATCGATATCTAGTTATGCTGTTGTTGTGAAAAAAAACTCGTTTTTCTCTTTAACTACTGGACCAATTGCTTTCAAATTTTCAGTGGTTAAAGATTGTTGTTGTCGCTAGAAAGCTAATGCATTTATTTATCTCAAAAATATTTGTGGGTTCTATGAGATTCGTTTTTCACTTTGAAGTTTTTTGTGATGACATCATCGAAAGTAAAAATTGTTTGCCGTGGTTCCGTGATCGTCTTAGTGATCTGGTGCTAAGGTACTGTATAAGATTTGATACTACTTCGTGTCCATATATTTGAGCAAAGCCTTATACAATCTTTACGATATGCAATAGCGACCAAAAGAGATTTTTAGGCGTTGGACTAACAATGCGGACATCGCAGGTTAAAAATCTCGTACCGCTGCCACCACTGGTACCGCGGGGCTGTACTGTGATGATGTGTAATTTTCCACCAAACACTCCTAATATTATTCATGGATTGCGGAAAACGAAAGATAATTTAACCATATTGAAAAAAAGCGTTCAGGCAAAATGTATTTTGAGCTGTGGTCATATTGTTACTTATCGATCTTAAGATCGGTAAGTATGTTGATAGGTATTTGTCTGTTTGTTTGTTTGTTTGTTTGTTTGCCTGTCAGATACACGCAATATCTCACGAAAGCAAGGTTGAATCTGCTCCAAATTTTGCATGTGCATTCATCATAGTTCGGAACAGAAGCCTATTGATTTTCGATGAATTATGTCGTATAATTAGCGAGTTATTGATTAATTAGTGATGGGACACACAGTGTCACTATGGAGTAAGAGCGCTGTTTTGGGGGATCCCCTAACCTCCGATATATAAGTCTTCGGTCTCCGATCGATAAGTCTTCGGTCTCCAATCGATATTCTCGTTTCAACTTTGACGCGTTACTAAACAGCCCAGCTATGACATAATGATACTAATATTACAATTGTAGCGATGATTGTTGGAAAATAAGATTAAAAAGGCGAGGTTCATGTACTTTCATGTTTGGTTTTGACGTCTTTAAGCCCCGAGGTTGTGGCTAATTTTTTTTTGGAAGAATCCGACAATTGTCTCGTCGAATATTTGAACCGTCATTTTTGTAGATGTTATCAATGACTGGGATTTCAAAATCGGTTTGTGTCAGCCACCTGGTATGTAAGTGTGTATGTGTGTGTGCGCGTAAATTTGACTTATTTTGTTACTTTTGTTATGTATGACTGAGAATATTAATCAGTGTTTGTTATTCTTAAACTCGCTATGTGAATGCGTGTGCGTGTGTGTGTTTGAAGTTGAGTTATTTTGTTACTTTTGATATGCATGACTCAGAATATTCATCAGTGATCATTATTTCCTTACTTGGTATGTGAGTGCTTATGTATGTATGCGTGTGTGTGTGTGTGAAGTTGACTTATTTTGTTACTTTTGCTATGCACTGAGAATATTTGTCAGTGAGTATTTGTTTCTTACTCGGTACTTGAGTGTTTTGTATGTGTGTGTGTGAGTGCGTATGTGTATGTGTGTATGCAATAAAGTTGACTTATTTTGATACTTTTGCTATTCCTGACTCAGAATATTCATCAGTGATTATTATTTTCTCACTCGACATGTGTGTATGTGTATGTGTAAGTAAGTGTGAAGTTGACTTGCATTGTTTATATCTGCTATGCATGACTAAAAATATTAATCAGTGTTTGTTATTTTCAAACTCGCTATGTGAATGCGTATGTGTGTTTGTGTATGTGTGTGTGGAGTTGGCTCGGAATTCTGTTATTCAATATGTGTGACTCAGAATATTCAACAATGATTGTTATTTTCAAACTCGATATATGAGTCCGTTTTATGTGTATGACGGGTGAATTACATTCAAATCACAGTGATATGTGTTTATTAAACAATTACAACACTTTAAAGAAAAGCAGAGTTTATTTTTATTTTAAAATCAATAAAATGGAAAAGTATATCTCAAACTCATTCTCAACTCTTGACGAAACTATTGGTTTTTACCGATATCAATCCGCATGATCTTGAGAAACCGGTATCGTGGGAAACTCAGTTATGCTTTCAAGTTGGTATAAATTTATGATGATTATTTGAATCATTGAGAGAATAGGTACATGCGGTTTACCCGATACATTAAAGGAAACATCGAACGAGAGATAAGAAAATTGTCGCACGACCTGGTCCGCTTTATTAAGTTTACTTCACTTTTATATCACTGTTTTCGCAGAAATACCTTCATCTTCCTGTTTGTGTATAGGTTGTTTCAGCCCATGTAAATAAATAAGCGTAACCGCGATTTTTATCGTAACGTTTCCAAAAATGCTAACGACACGATACATGAAAATTTCTTGGAAGAACAACGTGGTCCCCACGAGTAAATAAACAATGTTGATTGTTGATATACTTATTTCGCGTTTATATAAAGAAAAATGATACAAACTGACTGGTGAGTTCAAATACAATAAATTATAAAAAGCTCAAAATTCGAAGGACTGAGTAAGCTAGACAGTGGTTTTGAGGGAAAAAAACGCAAAAGAACGATAAGCTGCAGAAACTTTTATTTACATGGTGTTAAAAGTAACGCAAAATTAACAGAAGTTAAGATGAAATGCTACTTCAAGCATTTAACGACTGACATCTTTTAACAGTATTGAATTACGACAAAATGCCATTTAAACATTTCATGACTGACACCTTTTAACAGTATTGAATTACGGTGAAATGCCGTTTTAAACATTTCACGACTGACACCTTTTAACAGTATTCAATTACGGTGAAATGCAATTTAAAACATTTTACGACTGACATCTTTTACCAGTATTCAATTACGAAGAACTTCCATTTAAACATTTCACGATTGACGCTTTTTAACAGTTACTTTTTTACCGTTGTCATGACGAAAAATTGAACCTTAATTTTTAACACCCTGTATTGTTGATATAATTTAATTCATCCTTTATAATTAGATCATGATGGTCCAAATCCATAACTTTAAGTTCATAGAATTTTCAAACCGAACCGATCAGGGCACTGAATGCGTCTGCGATTTGTTGCCATTTGTCTAATTATAATTAAATTATAGGCTCATTAAACGAGTAATTGTGAATTATACTTGTTAGAATATAATGTAATTTAGTCTACACGCGTCTCACAATGAATTGTGTAACGTGAAAAATATAATCGTCAAAACAGCTGTTTTGTTACTATAATACAGTAAAGCGTCGCGGGCCGGATTACGTTACTCCGCGGGCCAGACCCGGCCCACGGGCCGTAGGTTGCTGACACCTGGCCTAAACGTTCACAAAACAACGCAATGGTGTCCAACTAAAAGCTAGAATGCATGGTATTTCGGAAATTCGGGTGGAAATACCTAGGGACTCCACCCACCTCCTCAGAAACAAAACTTCTACAAAAATTTTGTGCCATTGCGGTCCCTGAGTAAAGTTACTTTTTTACTCTTGCAGCGTCATATTTGTAAGACAACGAAATAGTTCGAAATATTCTTCACTTCAAAAGCTTATAACTTTCTAACAACTAAGCAAGTAGGGTATTGAGACATTTCAAAGAAAAGCAGATGTAATCGTGAAATCAGAAAACAATATCATATTTTGTACATACATTTGATCAAAATATGTCCTAAATACAACTAAGTTTTCCATGGACATAATGTCATCAAATGAAGATATTTCAAAATTAAGCGAAAAATGTTATTCAAAACACACAATAAAAACTTTGCTAACGATCACAAATGATATGACTGTAGTAGATCATCTTAAAATAAAGAGAAACAGCCAGACTAGATAGATTGTTTGCAAAACTGTAATCTTATTTACCCCATTGCCATCAAACTATATCTCAGACCGATTCGATAAATTCAGTACACAAAACCTGATTGTACAAATTAAACACTTCTTACCCTGAATGATGCACAGTTTTCCGCAATTTCTTCGACATTTGTTTCACCCATGGTAATGATTGCTAAAGGTATAGTTGCGGTGATGAGGATTGCACCCATATTCTGAATAAATTGTAATAATTAGATTTTTTTGACTTTTTTTTTACGGATTTCATATAGCACAATAATTTACGTTAACTCTGAAGTATTTCAACGACTTGCGTACTTTTACCTTATGACTCTGATCACGAATAAATTGCCTGCCTAGATAAAGCCTTATTGTAAGCAAAACTTGAATAAAACATATCTCAAAAGTTTGGTGAAATGCATTTAATGTCGAACTAAGGGGTTGTGGCATAACTTAGAGCTGGGTTTCCCAAACTGGGGGTCACGATCCCGCAGGTGGGCGCGCAATGGATTTTAGGGTCGCAAAGAGTACACTAATTTCACACAAGTTGTACATTTTTTCAGACAATTGAGCAAATGAAACCTATTTTTGCTTTCACAGTCTCGCAGTAGCGTCTATAGTGCTTATTATAATTGTGGTCATATTTTATAAGATTTACTTTCATTATTACATTCGTTGTTTAACATTATTTCAAATATTACCTATAGTCATATATACAAAGGTATGAAAACATACTATTTGAATGTATTAGAATCACTGGTTCTCAAACGGTGATGCGCACTCAACAAGGGGGGCGTAGACAATTTTTTGAGGGGGCGTGTAGCTGATTAAAATTAACATATTTGTTAGATTTGATCTTGCCCGCCTTATATGGATATTTACATTTCAAAACTTTTCATTTACTTTATTAATTACGTTCCATCCACGTATTTTCAACATGTTTTTTGTTTAAAACACACTTTCGCTTTACTATCTGTTATTTGTGGCTTATTGTTAGCTAGTTATTTTTGAGGTGGAGCGCAAGACTTGACAAATTCTAAAAAGGGGCCAAAAACTTTTGAGAACCACTGCATTGGATTGTGAAAAGGAATTTGCTTTTCGCGTTTTCCACAAATTTGCATTAAATTGACCAGCATTTATGTGCTTGTATTACATGCTATCGTGTTATCTTTGTGTTAGTATTTATATTTCTCATTCAAATCTATATGATACTATAATAGCTGAAAAATGCCGCTATATTAGGGTTTCGTGGGTTAAAGCTTTTAAAAATGCCACAAAATAATGCAGTGCCTCATTATACGTCGTTATATGTTGAAAAATGAATTTTTGAATGATTATAAGTTTATTATAAGGCGGAAATGTTAGATTACCCATTCTAAATTTTTCAATACAGTAGTCCGAAACCGGTAGAATTGTCATCAAAAGTAAATTAGACGAATTGAATATTAACTAAATGTTTTTAATTATGAAAGTAAAATTGATAATTGATAATTGATTTTTGATCTAAGATAATAAACATAATTGTACTAAACATAGCATTTGAATTTGTATCGTCTGCGTCAGTCAAAGTGACATAATACCACATTCGCTTAAAATTGGTCTTTGATTAGAACTATGTAAATGTTTTTACTTTTATGTTTCGATATCAACAAGCGATAAAGTCTAAAACGTTCTTACTCATTTCATGTTCACGCAGAATTAAGTAATGTCAAGCTACGTACTTTCAGAGAAATTGGCCAGGAGAATTGACTTTCAAACTTGAATCAGGAGTTTATAAACATAAATAAATAATATGATTTAACTTAAAGAAACTCTTAAATCGTGTAGTCTTGTTTATTTTTGGTACAGTATACTTGCATTATACATTGCTTACGGATCTACAAGCGCAAAGGCATATAGGGAGGATAAGTAGACAGTCTTGCTTGACCACAGCAACTGATATTTAATTGAAATATAAATTAATAATTGTTTTTACAATTAATATAATCAATTTCCGTCAAGCTGTGTTTTAATGGATGATTCAAAATCTCACGAAAGAAGTTTTTGATATTTCCAAATAAAGTTTTTTGCTTGAGTTTGATTGTGGAATACTGTACAGAAAAAGTAATAACATGGACAGTAATAAATAATTTTTAGAAAAATAAGGAATAAGCTAACTTTAAATAGTAACTTCATTTTACAAAAGACAGTATACTTTCAGCGATGTCTATATTTCCTCTTGTTTTATGTTTCATATGCCACACTTGTTGACATATTTTAGTTAAATTTTGTTTATGGAACAACATGCAGATACGTTGCATGTACTCAAATAAGTCAGTTTCGACCGCCATGTAAGCATCAAGTTCATAGATATTTATATCCACAAAAAACTGAATAGACTCTTTTATATCCATATTATATTTCTCATAACGAAAACCCGCGCATAGGATGCTTGTGGTTATGTATGACATTTAAGGTTTTAAGGTCGATTTTGAAAATGAACTTGATAATTTAATATACAAATACATTTAGATAAACATTCTTTCATAATGGAAAAAGATTTTCGAGTTCATTTAGAGTTCAACGTTCTCGTTGAATTGAATTGCGTTGAGCGTTGAACGAGCGGTCTTTATAAAAAAAACGGTGAAATTTAGACACGGATTTTTGGTGGGTGTTGATTTGGTTGATATAGCGTAACTCACCACGCCTCATCACAAGAAACGAGAATATAAAGTCATTCCATATTTGTATTCATAGTGTTGGCCATTTGCTGCTTGATATTAACGTTTCAGTGTAACTGACCATTCGTATAGCAGTTTATATTATATTTAATTTGTAATATAAAAGGATTAAAATTAATGATTCGTGGTATTTTTATGTGAATTTCCATGGCAGGCGCACGAGCAAAGTACAAAATCTTTTGATCACTATCTTTTCATTTGTTGCTCACAAAATTAGATTAGTGATGCAACCCCATGGTATCAAAATATCATTCAAAAACTTGGACAAAACTTGCAAAAAACATTGTCACGGATCAAAGTTTGGGTGGTAAACAATTTGAAGACAAAATACGAAAACTTTTTTCGGATTGTGCAAAACCATATTAGCAGCAAATTCACTAAAATGGCATATTCAAATGAAGGGAGGAAAAAATCAATTTAAAAATATCATAATAAACCAAATTACCATGCCAACAAAACTGAAAATAGCTCCCAATTTCCAATCTTGAAAATAGAACTTTCGATCCATCGCAGGCATCGTCATCGCTTTTTGACGCCAAAGCTAGCCGTGTAGGTCGACTGAAACTAAACCAGCAGGATGGTATATCCGACAGCCCTAAAGCTTAATTACAGGTTCAGGTTTCTAGGATAATGAAGCAATGCTCATATACTGTAATTAAGAGACAAATGTTAGGTTACGTTTTACGATAATTGTACTCCTATGAAAACGTTTTTCGAAGTTGTCTGCCTCATATTTTAGTATTATAACAGCCTTAAACTAAATTATATTCGGGATATTCAATAATTGATGAGTTCTCAAATTGGTGCACTGTTTGCTTCAATTTAAAGCCATTTGATACAATCAAATACTTAAATTGGGTTCTATTATGCCTGTAAATTCAGTCATGTGAACATAATAATATAATAAGTTTGTATATAACTATTTATAAATAGTCAGCTGTTAATATTATTTCACTGGTACGCTACGTAAATTAAAAAATGTTCGGTGTATTGGTATATCTTTGTCGGCGCTCCAGAAGTATGTGTACCAATATGGAGGTAACTAATTTTGTTCGCCTACTTTACATCAAGTTATGTAAAGGGACTGAAACCTATGGACAGGGGGGTATATTCACTTGGCCTACAGCGACAGTCTCCGAACTCGTAATAGAAATAAAATAAGGAAACTAAAATAAAATTATGGCCTAACCCTAACCTGATACACACCATTTATATGTCACCTCGCCCAGACCGAAAAGTAAAACACCACCGAAAACGATTCATAATTTCCAACAACTTGCAAACATCGAGGTTACAAAAATTTCTTTTTCTAGTATTTACATTAAAATCTATCACAGTACTACCTCCACATGCTATATAACAAGGTATCTGCTAAAATTGACTTAAGTGAAAATTATCATTATATAAGTTAATTTACTAAAAACGAAATCTATTTAACTATACCTCTTATTAAATGAAGATTTACCATCTCTAGTCTGCTACATTTCCGCAATGATTTGTTCTTTTATTGGAAACTATTTTGAATTTTTCGAGAGAATTTTTTGTCGCAAATAGGAGAGTTATAAGCACTTTTTTGCGAAATTTTAAAATACCGTTAGAGCTTAAGATGAACATAAGAGTTTCGTAAAGTCGTAAACCGCAACATGACGGATTATATTATGCACAAGCTGATGGAATTTGTGTAAAGTCATAATAATTTTGTATTCAGTTTAGGTCATGGAAAGTCAGTGAATTTTGGATATGAATAAATTACGGTGACATGACAAGAAAGGGTTAGCATATCCTTCATAAGACATACAACGGTACTGCACCAATAAATTATATATATGAATATATAGCGTGCGTATCAAGAAAAGTATTCTAAAACCCTTCTAAACGGCAGACACAAAAGGGCCGGATCAAACACTTCGGTAGGCCGGATCAGGCCCGCGGGTCGTGATTTTCCCACCACGAGTTCCAACTAATTAGCTTAATACTAATCGTAGTAAATAGTAAAAATTTTGTGAATCGATCTCGCCTTATATTGACTTTATATTAGATAACAATCTTAATCTATATTATCAACGAATTTGACACCTATTTGCAGATCATTACAACAATTTATCAACCACAAGTTGCGATATGATCAGTCTTTGCAAAAATCTTTGTGTATTATTACAACAGTAAAAGATCGGTGACTAAACAACCTGCCGATTTGTGTGTTATGCTATCCATACATATTATATTATGTATTTATTGAACACAAAGAGGATTGTCGCCGTTGGGAAAAAAGGAACAAATGGGACTATCATTTTCAAATACTGAAAAAAGATGAAGGAGTATGCTGGAAAGCTATTACCACTTTCTTCAGTCATCCTCCAATTCCCACGGGCCTCTATCGGTAACGTTAGCATTATCCTATTTCATTTCGAACGAACGGTTTACATTTCTGAATTCACTTTCTCAACATTCCTGTTCAACTCTCATTATAAATCGGTCGATGTTTCAATATTACTCCTACATTATTTTTCCAAAAAATTCTATCGTGGTAGATGTACGCATAATTTAGATATTGCTTGCGTGTAAACTTTGTCATACTTTCACTTCTGTATTTTTTAAATATGCGTTTCTTTACGTAAATACGTAAAAAGGTATTCGGTGGCGAAGTATAAAAACAGTACGCGAACTACAAAGTTACATGCCCACTGTTTTGCTGCCATATTTCATCAAAGTTTGAAATACTTATATACTGCGTTGCCTTACAAAAATACGTAAAATCTAATACGTAAAAAATAATATGCGAACCATCATGGCGGACACCGAAACGTAGTATGTGTACCACGTAAGAATTAGGCCATAATTTTAATCCCAGTTTCCTTATTTTAGTTATATCACAAGTTCGTGGATTAGCCGAGTGTCTCCCTGTACCTGAGATTATGGCCTAATCCTAACCTGGTACACATACTACGTTCCGGTGTCCGCCATCTTGGTTCACATATCACAGGAATACCATAAAAACAGTACGCACATCATAAACTATAAAGTTACCAGTGTAATGTTACCATCGAAAATACTGACTGAGTTCACACCGACATAACTGCACCATATTGTCTCTAACTGTGTCGTAGTTCACAAACATACGCGGAAGTGAAGCTATTCTAGCCCACATATTGTTAATTCGTGATTATACGTCACAACATTATAAAAATGACAGATATACAGGCGTTCATAAAGTTATGTAATAAATTGGGCTGAGGAATTTTGATTAGCTTCGTGCAACTGACGGTGGGAATATGAAAGTGTATTAAGTGAAAATGAAAGAACATATTCAAATAAAACAAACCTGGTTAAGATATTTTGGGAACTGACTTCGTAACAAAATTTTGATTGTAACAGGACTTTATTATCAGTTCGTATATATACAATAGTATAACAATATTTGTAACTTAAATTAACTTTTTCCGAGCTTTCGATATTTCTAAACCAAGCAGTTATTTACTTTAGGATTCATATAGTACCATGTCTCAGTCATTCATATAACTTATAATATTCTTTGCGCTGTAGTAGCTTATGAATTTACCATGAAAAGCACTTGTGAATACTTTTATTTACAGTATATAGACTAATGAATGAGTAAAGTCATTTACTAGTCGGTGCTGGAAACGTTACTCCACAAATTTGCATGGACTGTCAATTGTATCATGTCCTATATCACCTTTAAAAAAGATATTGCAAAGTTCCACTGTGACGTGAGTAAGTTCTCACCTACTAAGGTTAGAGTTATAAATAAGTGATAAGTAGAAATGAAATTCAAAATTTTAGGAACGGCTCTCTTTTGCGTCAAATTCGTTAACAACGGGTTCCCTCATTTTAGTAAATGTATGTATGTCACTAAGTAAGCTTCATTAATATAACACGCTTTACATAAATCTAAGACATAAGTTTCGAAACGCAAAATATCTAGCTAGTCGTCAGCTGTGATGCACGAAACCATTTGCTGCGCTCGTCCAACCTCTAAAACTAAGAACAACGGGGTCGCTCATTAGCACAACCCCCCAAGAACGGTTCTTGCGAACCCACTGAACCCAATCACTGGCGATGACCCTTAGGGATAAAAAAAATGCACTTTATAGTACCAGCTCAATGCAGATCACACGCTATAGTGTGTTAGACCCCAAGCTACCATGGTGGATCTCACATTATAGTACTAAGCCCATCTCACGCTGAAGTACCGGCTTGTGCACGATATAATAGCAACCAATTACACACTGATTCTCGCATACTGTTAACCTGTTTTTTATGTATCTCATCATAATCTATAGTTTGCTCCGTTTGACGATTTGTCAGTTGTCTTATAAAACCTTCGAATATTTCAAATTGGGACGGCATCTTCAGTTATAATAATCAGGTACTATTTCAATCAATGCATCAATTAACTGGTATTATATCAATTACGACCATTTGATTTTGGAATCGATCTACACATATTACAAAGTTTAAAATAGAAAATGGAGTTTTCGCCTGTCACGTATAATGCCAAATCTATACTAGGAGATTTAGAAATACTGCACACTAACACAAATGAAATACATTTTTGTCTTCGCAAGGGTTGTCTGACCGAATTCAGATTTCCCTAGACTGGCAGTTCACAACAATGACAACACATGAACAGTCTCGCAGTACATTATCCATATCCATTTTTAGCATAGCTGGAAAATGCATAGTGGTGCTGTACGAACGTCAGCTATCTTCTGCTTAGTACAATTACCTGTATTGTATCGCTAGAGATGTTGATATTTTATGAGCTGTTTCGCTCCTTTGCTTTACTGTAGATGTGGACAAATAAGTAGCTATTATTGAAGGACTGCAATTTTTCTGCTTCGGTGGCAGCCTGTTGAATAGCCTAGTCGAATTTGTTGAGAGAGGGTGATGGTCATGAGGCTTTAGCCCAAGAGATCACAAAACTAACACAGTAAGTTATGAATATCACCAAGTAAAATAAATACGTCATTTTTTTGCAATTTTACAACTTCAATTCCGCAAAGATACATCCATTTTTGATACACCCGTAGTATGTGTACCAGGTTAGGGTTAAGTCATAATTTTATTCCGATTTTTCTTTATTTTAGTTTTATTACGAGTTTGGGGACTTTTGTGTCAGCCAACTTAATATATCCCCTGCCCATAGGTTTCAGTTCATTTACACAACTTGATGTAAAGTAGGCGAACAAAATTTGTTACCTCCATATTGGTACACATACTTCTGGAGAGCCCTATTTACACAACTTCAGCTACACAAGAGATTTGTCAATTTTAACCATAATAGAGATAAAAATACATAGTGGCGCTGTACAAACTTGAAAAAGCTTCTGCTTGCTACAACTACATTTATGCTATCGTTAAACTTTTATTAGCTAGAGTATGACAACATTAATTCCGGCATTATTTATATCAGTAATACCAATTTAATTATGTTATGGGTGTGAATCATATACACGTAGGCTGTCATAATGCGTTATGAAGTTGAATGAAATATTTTAAATGGATATCACAATTATTAGAGGCGGGAAGTATACATAACAACTAACATACAAAACCATCTAACCAGTAACGATCAACCGTTGAACTAATAATCTAATCACTGTTATAATTGAAAAAAAGATTAC